CGACGCCGCCACAAACATCTCGTCTTCGATCTCGTCATCAACCTCCAAGCTCATCTTCAACCTATGAGCATGTCTTCGATTTTGTCTTTAACCTCAGAGGCTCCGAGCACGTCATCGATCACGTCTTTGATCCGCTTCATCTCTGTAACAAGGTAAAGAGGGTTGTTTGCTTATTTTATTCATCATTTCAGATATAGACCTTTGGTTTAACATTAATAGGGTTTCTTATAGATTACACAATGCATTTTTATCCTTTTTTTACCCCAAGTATAATACTGTTGCAGCGTTGCTCAAACCAGTGTATGGTTTTGGTGTTTTCCTTTAGTCTATACACAGTTCAATTTTTTTAATTTTTTTGTAATTGTTTCTTGAGAATTTATTTTATGGAAAACCTTTACTTAGTTGTTAAAAAAATAATTGTTAATTACATTTACATGATTTTTTTTTGAGAATTTTTTTTAGTTTCTCTGTTTTGCTTTTTTTCTTTAATTTTTTCGTTGTTCAAACTTCACACTTCATAAACTTCACAATTTTGAAAATAGGAATACAATATGAAATTATGAATATACATATTAAATGAATGAATTATTGATATCGAATTTGGTAGCTGTGTTGGAAAATTTGATTGTTCCTTCATCCTTGCAGCTTGCTACTTAACTCTCAACTAGTATAATCTGTAAAAAAGAAAAACAAAGTTAGTGAGCAATAATAACTTAGTAATTAGTATAACTAGAAAAAAGAGCTTAAAATAGTAATTAGCAATTTTTCTATGCCCAATAACTTAGTAATTAGCAACAATATCTTAGTATTTGAGATGATTGATAAGAGTTGGAAAATATTAGTTTAAGTGTATATTTAATAATTAATACTTTAGTTTATATTTTTATCATATATATATATATATATATATATATATATAGTATATATATATCTATATATATATATTATATATAGATATACATATACATAAGATATTATATAAATAATGTATATATATATTATTTATTGTATACTATATATATATATTTATATGTGTTGGTGGTAATTATTTTTTTATATATATAATTATTATAAAAAAATGATGTATAATTAAAATAAATAAAAATTTATATATATAATAATATATTTATATATATATAATATATATATCATATAAATATATTAGTTATATATAATATCATATAATATATATACTATCTTCAAGTATTCGCAATTAAAAAAAATGCCCAAAAACCGCTTGGGTGCCCGCCTAAACGTCTAAGCACTGAGCGTCAAGTCTGGCGTCTAGGAGCGCCCAGCGTTTAATGTAACATTATCAAGATTCTTCTCTGATTGTTCGCACTATATCGCATGGCAGAGATTTATTACTCCTTTATGTAGATGATATGATCATTACAGGTGATGATTTGCTGGTATACAATACGCAAAATACAACAATTGTTCCACATAAAGAATCTTGGATCTCTTCACTATTTCCTTGGTCAAGAAATTTCTCTGGGCCCGCGGGGAGTATTATTGTCTCAACAAAAGTATCTCTCGTATATTCTAGCTCGTGCTAAGCTAACTGACGATACAACTGTCGATACTCCACTTTAAAAGAATGTCAAACTTCGCTCTACTGATGGTGAGCCTCTATCTGATCCTACCCGATATCGTCTTCTGGTTGGTTAGTTGGTCTATTTGTGCATCTCTTAACCAGATATCACTCGTGCTGTTGGCATTGTTAGTCAATTCGTTAATGCCCCACATTTTGTACACTATACTGTCTTATTACGGATTCTTCGGTATCTCCAGGGCACTAGCACTCGTTTTCTTCTATTTCTTACTACATCCGATTTAGAGCTTCGTGCATATTCTTATACTGATTGGGCTGGTGATCCAACTACCAGGAAGTCTACCATAAGTTACTGTATATTTCTTGGTGATTCCCTTATTTCCTGGCGGAGTAAGAAACAAGATGTTATTGTCCTTTCCAGCACTGAGGCTGAGTATCATGCAATGTCCACAACAGCTAAAGAGATTATTCATCTTCATCGTCTTCTCAGTGAGTACAGTATTTCTGTTTTGACTACTACTCCTCTCTATTATGATAATAAGAGTGCCATCCAGATTGCTAATAATTCAGTATTTCATAAGAGGACCAAACACATTAAGATTGACGCTCATTTTGTTCTTCAACAAGTTATCAAGGACAATACAATTTAAATTCCTCATGTCTCATCCGCTGATGAGCTTGCAGATTTCTTCACGAATGCCTTACCTGTTCATCAATTCTAGTTTCTTGTACGCAAACTCACTTTCTTAGATCCAACATTGAGTTTGAGGGGTCTATTAATATTATTATATGTGTTAGTAGTGAGTTTAGTCCCACATCGGTTATGAGAGCACACCTCACCCTCCTCTACTTGTATGTATATATATGTGTACACATTCAATACTTAATCTAAGGGAAATTCACCCTAAGACTCTCTCTCTCCTTTAACACACAAATTGGTCACTACCCATTGCTTAATTCTGTAGTGGGTTTACTATTGTGGCCAATTCTACTATGTACTTAGGAACTATTTTGCTAGAGGGTGTTGTCACTTGATGCCAAACTCTTTAAGATGCCTCTGCCCTGAGTAGTGGAGTGGCGGTGCCAGTAATTTTTCTTAAGGGGCGGGCGGGGGTGGGTCAAGATACATTATATATCATATATATATATATATTATATATATATTGTGAATATTATATATAGTAATTATGAGATTAAATGGGTTCTTGTGCATAGGAGGCGATTTCTCTCTGGACGGCTTCTAAAATCACTGATGGAGCGACATTATGGTGCATGGCCGCCTCCGGTTAAACTTGATTCTCACATTTTTGCCTAAAACACCCAACCACACCAAGTCTTTGGGGTGAATCCGTCCGCGTTTGACCCTCTATCGAGCCATGTGAAAACGTTCTATTCATTCAAAACCGTTAAAATTGATACGAGTGGATGAATGGTCAAACGACGATGGGTTCACCCAAACTTGGTGTGTTGGGGTTTTAGAATATATAGATCAAGCTCAAACGGAGCGGATCATTCACAATATCGCTCAATCTGTGATATATATATATACACTCTTTTGAGATGCCTCTGCCGCTGAGTAGTGAGTGGCGGTGCCACAGTAATTTTATCATGGGTTTGAGGGGGGAGTCCAAGATACATTAATATATATATAATATATATATATATATATATATATATATATATATATATATATATATATATATATATATATATATTATATATATATATATCATATATATATAAAGAGAACACACGATTTAGCCCATTGGGTGATGGCAGTCATGTCAGTTATCAAATATGAGGTTTATTTATGTATTATGAGAGACGTTAGGGTCCTCAAGCTTCCTCAGACGGTTAGTTCTTGAGCTGATGGTTCCGTCCTGCACATGAAAAACACGTAAGAGGTCGGAGTTGGATTCTCTCGTGATTTCTCCGACGGTCAAGTCAGTTCAGAGGTTGAGTGGAGAAGTAAGAGTTAAGTTTTTTAACAAGAGAATTGCATAGAATGGCTTAGAATAGCTTACCCTAGGCAGCAGACATCAGTTTCCTTTTAGAGCAGATCAGAAGGGTAGATGAGGAAATTTGGTTGAGTCAAGCTAGTGGCTCAGTCGTCATCTATTTTATAGGTGTCAGCAGTAGAGAGAGGTGAGTCACCCAGGCATTTAATGTGAGAGTGACATAATGTGCATAGTGTCAACGAGGTCTGATGAGTCATAAATACTTTCAGGCTGGAGGTGCAATGACTCTGATTATGCATTTAAGGTAATGGCATTTGACTATCGGCGGAGGGCTCGAGGATACACCGCCTTTCGATTCGTCTTATTACAGGCCAATAAACACCGTCTTTTTAATCGGCCTTACAAGTTGTTGGCATGGAAAGGCTAAGTGCTAATAGGAAGTGGGGTCGATCGGAATGGTAGGCCAAGTGAGGATGTTCTCATCTTGATCTTACAGGTAGGTTGACAAGTACCTCCTTTTTAGTTGGCATCGCAAGTTGTCAGCCTGCTGGGTCGACATCTAGAGTCGCTCGGGTCGTCCCTCTTTGAATATGACTGATTAGGCATAGGATGGAACACGTATCGGCCTCTCACTGGGATTAACACTTAGCTACTTGTATGATATGGCAAGTATCAAATGTGTAGCTGTAAGTTTTCTCATGATTTAGGTGTAAATAATTTTTTTTGATATCTGGTAGAATGCTCTATTCCACTCCTAGTCATAGGTACAAAAAACATGATCTGACAATGTTTTTTTTAACAATGAAACCATTTATCTTATTCTATTTATAGTAATAGGTATAGCTGGAATCATTAAGTTCAAAATATTGGGGGGTCAAGACCTCCCATCACAATGTGTAGCTAGCCTCTGTGGATGACCATAGCCAAGGACCATTACATATATCACATAAGTAATTTTGACGTCTCTATGAAATGTGACTTCCAAGTCATAATCTACAATAATAACAGAGTTATTGCTCCACCTTTGTGATTGATTCCATTAGTCTGTGCTCTGTTCAATCCCTGTAAGGATCTAACTCCACTAATATTTTTTTTTTTTCATTTTCTATTTATTTATTTTGTTGACAAACAATCACTGAGAGCCTACTGAATGTTCAAAGTAAAAAAACATAGACATTCTTGAGACTCACTGACTCACACTTGAAATGTATCCTCATGCAAATTATGAAGAATGAACTTCAGAAGATCTTTGAGTCATGTTTGAAAGTCACGTGGATCATTTGCTTTTCTTGCTATTTATCTTACATTTATCAATCGGAGTGTCATGTATATAGTCAACAACCTACATAAATTCTGATGTTAATGGATCGTACATAAACTTGACCCGTTTGCATGAGAGGGCATCCAATGTTAATAACGAGTAAAGTACGGGGGCAAATATCCACCAACTTTTGTGTATATCAGGACACGCAGGAGGCTTAATTATAATTAGAAAGGAAAGATACTAGAAGTTTCAAAAAAAGGACACAATCAAGGAATTAGGAGCAAAATCAAATATTTTGAGCGAATGAAGTGATACTGTAAGGATCCGTGCAAAGTCATCCCCAGATGCAGTGGATCACGAAATATCTGGGGCTTTTGATTCCACAGTATCGTCTCTCGTTTATCATAAATCATAATGTCCTTTTTGTGCGAATACCTTTTCAATTTCTTTCTCCTATAAATTAGATCCACATTCTCTTTGTATGAGCCTCTTGGTTTTGTAAATTAATCTCTCACTTCACCATTTGAAACCTCTCTCTTTCTCTCTCTAGGAGGAGGATGGGTTCAAATTGTTTTGATGAAGAACAACTTCATGTGCTCGCAGTTGATGATAGTGTAGTTGAGAGGAAGTTCATTGAGGCATTGCTTAAGAATTCTTCATACAAAGGTGCGTTACGCTATTTTTTTTTTCTTTTTGTTATTTTTAGAATTTTCTAGTTCGTAGTTGTGAGATGAAGAATTTGTTAATTTATAGATACTCAAGGGAAGAAGTGTGTCTAAAAGTAATTATTATGATGTTGCCTCTATAATCCTTTTGGGATTACTAATTTTCTTTCATTCTTTGTGTTAATCCTTCTATGCTTTCTTAGATGAGCGGTGCCTAGTTTTGATGCAGTTGTACTGACAAATTAATTATAAATATTGTCTGTCATTGTAATCCAGACAGAATGTTTTTTGAATGAATTTATGAGCCTAAATCCTCAACATTTTGTAAGAAAAATAATAATGAAACTATTTTTCAAAATATAGAGATACAAACACATTTGAATATTTTGTCAAAATAAAAAAGCACATGAAGATTTGAATAAGTCGCTGAATTGACGTTGTATTGCACATTAATCTCATCCACCGAGCTTTTTACCCTAAAACTTAATCGAAAATACATTATAATCCACATTCTTCTTATCTACGAATTTTGGTTAGATTTCAATCCACACAATAACATAGAGAGATGATTCACGGAACTAAAAGAACATACGAAGTAAAAGCTCCTTTAAACATGAAGAAAAGAAATATAAAAAAATGAAAAAATAAAAATTTATATATTAAAAAATGTGATGTGAAATAATTATCATTTCTTCGGACCATGCGATCCTACGGAGGATTGTATCATGTGATATGGGCTGTGGCCCAGCTGGATTAGCTCATTATGGGTGTTGTATGGCCCAAGTCAAATCATATTTCTAAGTCGGTGATGTCGTGTATTTTACAACGTGTGGTCCACGTTGATCTCATGCATGGGATCAGATTTGGTAACCAAATCTAATCCCTTAAAATATGAAATATAGAAAAGAAAAAAAATAAAATAAAAAGGGAAAAATGTATTTAGGCCCCAAAAAAATAAAGTGATTGTGACTAAGCCCCCCGTATTATTTTTTGTGTGATAAAGCCCCAAATAGATGAAGTTGTTATGTTTCAGCCCCTATTTTCTTTTTCAAGACAACACAGTGGGATTTGTTTAAGAATACCCTAAAATGCCCTCCTCTCTCTTCTCTCTTCTCTTCTCACGCTCAAACCATCCCCAATCCTTCCGATGTCGAGATCGCCGACTGAATCAAGGGCTGATTTTTGGTCCGGCACCTCGATCCTTGACAAGTTCTACTCCATTCTCTCCTCGTCCCCCGACGACGCCCCCCTCGACGCCGACCTCTCCTCCCTCAACCTCCACCTCTTTGAGTCGCCCCGACGACCTCTGCCTTAACGCCCGCTTCCACGACACCCTCGTGGTCGGCTACTCCGTCACCGACTGCCCCAACCTCGATCTCGACCTCAGCCTCGACCAACACGCTGTTCCTTGGCCTCGACCTCGATTCCTTCGGCTCTCATGCTCTGATGAACTCTCTCATCGACGCCCGGATTTTCGATTTCGCAGAGACCCTGATGGAACAAATTGGGGAACGAGCCTTTAGTGTTCTCGCCAATATGCTTTGTAGAGACCAGAAGCTTAACAAGCTTCATGAATTGCTCGAGGGTGCACAAGAGAGGGCGGTGAAGCCAACTACAGCAGTTTTGGCCCGTTGTATCACGAGCATTTGCAAGCAAGGAGAGTTGGAGAAGGTTTGGTCCATTCGGCATATCTTTGGTGGCGGAGATGTTGAATTGTCTACGTATACTTTTGTATACACTAGTTCGATTCAAGCATTCATTTCATTAGGGAAGGTAGATGTGCTTCTTGAGCTAATAATTTAGATGCAAGAGTCTGGACATACCCCAACTAGGAATTTGTATCTAGCTGTTGTTGGTAGCTAATGTGAGATGGGAAAGTTTGAGGAGGTTCTAGTTCTTCTGAACAAGCAGTTAGAACTACTGAACAAGAAATCAGATATCAACGAATCAGATATGAGGACCTTTTACAATTACTTTATTGATGGGGCTGCTCATGTCAAAAGGCTCGAAATGGCTATGGAAGTTTTTAGCCGGATGGAGAGGTCGGGTGTCAAGCCAACTCTGGATACTAAGATTATTGTGTATATTAATTTAGTTGTGTAAATAGTTGATGTGGATGATAAACATTACAACAAGCTTGACTTTTATTGTTCTTATTGTATTTATGGTATTTTTGCTACCATATATTTATGTTTTGTTTTGATACAACATATATTTAACAGGCTCGAATGAAAAGTTACATGTTTACTTGAATGTCAGTAGGAAAAGCTAATACTTAACATGTACATTTGACAAGTTAACATATTCAGTTGCATGTTATTATGTTATAAGGAAGCTGACATGTAACAGTGAAAATTAATATATTATGCTGAAAGTTAACATATTCAGCTGATAGTTAGCGTGCAGAGATAAAATATAACATGTTCATAAGAAAGTTAACATATGCAGATGAAAGTTAATATATACAGCTGATAGTTAACATGTTCACGTGAACGTTAGCATATAAATCTAAACGTTAATATATACACTTGAAAGTTAACATATACATATGAGAGTTAACATGCTCACGTGAAAGTTAACTTGTTCAGGTTAAAGCCAACATTTTCAGCTTAAATTTAATTTATTCAGCTGAAAGTTTACATCATCACTTGAAAGTCTAAAGAATTTGAAAGTCAACGTGTATAGTTGAAAGCCAACATGTTCATCTCAAAGTTGCATGTTATCAAATTAAAGTTAACATGTTTAGCTTAAAATTATCCAGCTGAAAGTAGTTTTAGCACCAAGACATTTTATCCAGCTGAAAGTTAACATCTTCATTTGTGTATTCAAGCAATATCAGTTGTAAGAATGTAAGAGTTTTATTATGGTGAACGTTAACATGTTCAGTTAAAAATTAACATGTTATGAAGAAAGTTAACATATTATGGTGAAAGTTAACATGTAGTAGTGAATGTTAACATATTATGATGAAAGTTAACATATTCAGCCGACAGTTAACATGTTGTGATGAAAGTTTACATATTATTATGAAAGTTAACATATAACAGTGAAAGTTAACATATTATGATGAACGTTTACATGTTCATGACCTGCATATATGTTCAATGTCAACGTTTCTAAAGTAGTTCACAAACTGTATGTTCAATGATAAGACCACAGATCAACAACAATTGCCATAGTTGGGGAATGAAACATGAACAATCCATGGACCCAATATCTTAATGACAAGTAGTATGAGATATATTGGTTCATATCTCAGGAGATGAACAATAAGTTCTTATTTTCTAATTTGATTGTTGATTTATGTGTTAGAGGTATTTTGGGTGTTTGTTTGTACTACTCATTATGGATTGGAACACAGTGAAAATAATATGGGCTTTTAATGGTGCTTCTGTTTATTTTTCAAGAATTAGCCAACAATGATGTTCGTTTGTACTACTTTAATCTGAAGATGTTAACTTTTATCCTAATAAGTTAACTTTAACTGTTACATGTTAACTTTCATCATTATATGTTAACTCTACTGGTAGCATGTTAACTTTCAGCTGAACATATTAACTTTCATCATAATATGTTAATTTTCACTGTTACATGTTAACTTTCATAATAATATGTTAATTTTCTTCATAACAAGTTTTTTTGAACTAAAATTCGACGTGTTTGGTGTGGATTGCTTATTAGTACAGTACTTTTGGTAGAACAATATAGGTTGTCAAGACTTTTGTTTGATATTGTAGAAAGTTTTTGTAATCTCTAAGATTTTAAGTCTAATCATATTAGCTGCAAAAATGTAAGAAGTTTTGTGTAATGTACTTGTTTAGCTGGGGTATATTGTTTGTATTTCCTATAAAATGTCTTGGTGCTAAAACTACTTTCAGCTGGATAACTTTCAGCTAAACATGTTAACTTTCATTTGACTACGTTAACTTTGAGATGAACATGTTGGCTTTCAACTATACACGTTGACTTTCAAATTCTTTAGACTTTCAAGTGAATATCTTAACTTTCAGCTGAATAAATTAAATTTATGCTAAAAATGTTGACTTTAACCTGAACATGTTAACTTTCACATGAGGATGTTAACTCTCATATATATATATATATATATATATATATATATA